AGATAATATACGTCTGATATTATCCTTCATTTAAACGGATTCTTTCATTTTTCTGGACTAAGTCATATCGTGCTTTGTGGAGTAAATGTGGACAGAGACGTGTTTAAATTTCTGACTCACCAACAACAGTGGGTCGTTTATTTTAAACGATTTAAAAACACATCACACATTTACATTAATTGGCAGATTGATTACAATTAACACAGCTTAATTAATGAGCTTTGCAATGAGAAATCATACGGCCATGATTTCTCACTTGCAACTTAAAACAACAGACATATCCTTAGGTCTTAAATAAGTGTCTGCAGGCTTAGCTTATCTTTTACTGGCAGATAGAAGAGTTTTAAAGATGGAGAATGAAGGAGTTTAAATGGAGAGAAAAGATGTGTGAGGGAAAATGTGTTGATGAAGAACGACACCCTCCATCCGAACCCAGCTCTACCTCGGTACACTTCGGTAGTGGAAATCGACTCTTTAACCTTGCAGAAGATATCTCAGCTTCGGTGTAGAGTTCTCTTTCAACGTTACCATTTTAGCGTCTCCGTAGGATAGCAGAGAAACGTCCGGAGTAGTGACGGTACTTCGTTCAACAGCACGCTCACCTCCCGGGTGGACTCACATGAGCTGTGAGCCCGTCAAGAGTTCCACTCAGATGTGGAAGATTCCATAATCCCCACGAGACTCGGAAGAACTCCCAACTAACTCCAGCACTTCAGAACTTTCGTTCGGTTCTGCTCCCAGAACTTCTGTTCTTCCCCAGAACTTTGAACTGCTCTCAGAACTTTGAACTGACTGGAACTAGGAAGTGTCGACTTTTTAAAGAGTTCGCTTCCGGTCCCTTTTTGGGAAATCCTGATTGGTTGAAAGAACCAACAGGGGTGTGGTTTTAGTGACGTAAGAGGTTACTACAAGTCAGAAAAACAGTGAGATGTTTTAAGAACAGACAGAGAAATGTTATGGCGAAATGAGAGACTCACAGGTGCCAGCTTCTCTTGTTTAACGTCTGCTAGGTTTAAAAACATGACAGTTCGTTCCAATAACTTCTTTCTGACTTTCTCCGACTTTTGACCGACATCACTACTTCTCATTTCAGACAGAAGATCAAAAAATGCATGATTACTCTGTAACAGACATTAACTTGATTTCTACTTTGAATGAGGATTAAAAAATCATT